GATCAGCTCAAATGAGGAAGTATGTTCTGGAAATTTCTAACTTTGAAACCAGAAAGTGAAGAAACCAAATTTCTACTTGACTATTCTCCATTACGATACATATCAAAATGATACAGGGTAGTATGCATAACTGAAATCAAATACAAATACAATCCACTAGAGCAGTGGTTCCCAATCTTTTTGATACTGGGGACCAGTAAACCCATTAGCAAGCTTTTGGAGGACCGGTAACATTTATTTGCATATTCATTAAGCAAATTATGAATATGCAAATAAATTGTGTCGCTGACCCTACGTGACCAGCAGGTTGTTCCCCCCCGGCCCCAATCCCGGCCACTTTATCAGCCGGCACCGGCTCCCCCAGGTGCATCCGGCACAGGCATTCTGTGTCAGTGCGCACGGCACCCAGCAGGTTGTTCTGCCCCTCCCAGCCCCAATCCCCGCTGCTTTATTGGCCGGCACCGGCTCCCCCAGCTGCATCCGACATTCTGCATCAGTGCGCTCGGCCTTCTCCCTGGGTCCTAGAGCCCAACGGATCTAGCCCCGCCGCCCGGAAGCATGCCCGGCAGACACACCACGGAGGCAGGCTCTCTCCCAAGAGGGCTGCGCCGCTGGGCTCGGCAGCGTAGGGTGCTGCTACGCTGTCACACAAATTAATAGGATCATGCGTGATAATTTTTCTAAGGACCCGTACTGGGCCATGGACCACACTTTGGGAAATACTGCACTCGAGACTGACCAAAGAGCAGTGTCACTGCAATAGAGATTGACCAAAGAGCAGTGTCACATTGTTCCACTTAATAGCCACATTTTATAACTCTTTTTGAAGAAACTGAATTCCAAAATACTAAAATTAAAATTTTAAATTTTTCCCCTAAAAGCAACTTCAATTACAGATCATATGTATAAAAAAAATGAGAAATTAGGGAACTGATTAAATGCATGTTTTTCCTTATTATAGGATTGATATCTGTGGTAATTCTTGAGCAGACTGTTTTACTTCATTACTATAGTATCTAGAAACATCCCTCTATTCTTTCCTATTTGTTGCTGTCAATACTAGTTTTAGAAAGGGGACAGGAAAAAAACCCACAAAGCCACTGTCTTGAACAGCAGGAAATGTCTTCAACCATACCCAACTAAAAGTAGGATTTTACATAGATTCAACCTAAAAGGGAAAAAACCCACACATGCTTGGTATACTGGGGCATGACTCAATCAATCTTTTGGATGGAGAACAAGCTATCCTAATTCACAGTGAATTGAATGTGAATACAAATTAAGACTCTCTTGTTTAGAGTCAAGTCCCGTGCCACAGAAGCCAGTTTGTTTACCAAAAAAAATTCTCAAAGTATTCTTAGTACAATATTGTTTACTTAAGAGGGAAGGAAAAATGTCTTAGTAATCTGAAGTCATTTTTGGAAAAACTGTATTATACTTGTATTTCTAATATCAGTTGACATGATAAATTTCTACTTAATGAATGCAGAGTAATTTTTGTTCTTTGCTCCATTTGACAAGAAAATAGACATTTTTGCTTTAAAATGCCAATGCTCTACTGTTTGTTTTGCAAATACTGAAAAACTACACACAGAAAAACAGATTTCACTGATTTTATATAAGTTGTGAGAAAAAATTGTATTAGCAAAATAATTTGTGAGCCTGGACTATCCATATGCTGCTTTAGAATTTTATTTGGCATGGAATCTAACAACCAGTCCAAGAACAGCCATTTTCTACTTTGACCGGTAGTGCAATGGAGTGCATTCACCTCAGGTGAGCACCCCTTGGCCAAGCATGTATGTATCTGCAACTTTTTCTTGATGTCTCTGCTCAAGGTCCCCCTCCCGGATGGCTGCTTATAGGGCAGGTTTTTGGTGATTCTGCTCCTGGCAGAATCACACAGTCTTTGTTTGAAAACAAAAGCTCCTTCTAGAATATATGATCCAACTGAGACTATCTTCAGTGATGTCTGGAAGCCCTCTTATTACAGCTCAGTCTATTAACAGTCCAATAGGGCCCATCATGAATCATGAAACCCTTCGGTTGTAATGTCTCTATAGCCTTCCCTGGACTTTGTCCTTAAATAAGTCTGTCCAGAGCCTATCAGGGTACTCTCAGTTGGGGTCTGACTACCTGGCAAAAGTTCCTGCTCTGGGATGGAGCAGCATACCATAGGCGGAACTATTCTCAGACCACATAAATGAGCTTGCAGATCACTGGTGGTCCATTGACCACAGTTTGAAAACCTCTGATCTATAGGGTATTTACTAGGCAAAGATTTGGAACTACCATTTCTGAAAAATAAAAATAGTGGTAAAGAGGAAGGTAATAATATATAAAATATTCATAAACACTCTACCCCAATTTCAAAGTGTATTGTATGTAATGGTAGTTTCCCAGAATGAATACTCAGTAACCTCAGGATGACTTTAAAGATATAATACCCTGAAGGCAAAACTTTATCTCAACTTCCCATATATCCTTCTACAGAGAATTTGAGGTCCTTACATCATTACTGTTATCACAGTTCAGTTAATGCACCAATGGCAAGAATCAAGCTTGTACCATGCAATTAGTTTTGACAGCTCTCATACTACTCTAGCACGTATGTTATTGAAGTTCACAGGGCCACTGGTGCTAAAAGATTCCCTCATTCGAAGCAACAACAACACTGCTTTAACTCTGTGAGCAGAAAATTAAATTTGTGCCAAATGCCATCATCATTCAATAAGTTAAAAGAGTATCATTAAGTTAGTGATGTCTGCTTACTCACTAACTAAAATAAGTTTAGAACAGTGGATGCAACTCAAAACAGTTATAATAAAAAAGCATTACCAGTTAAGATTCTCAGTTCCTGGACCGAATCAAGAGATCCAGGAGAATGTAGGTCGACTGTAAATAAAATATCCTTTTCTTTTTTCTTTTTAATTACAGCACTGTTGATAAGGTCTGCTCTATACAGAAAGAGGAAGATAGCTCCAGATATAAAACTAACTTGTAGGCTGCTGGCTTTTCTCTACAGCTGAAGGAGGAACTGGAACTATACTGAGGCAATTCAGGCCTTTTCTCAGGGATTCAAGCTTTCATGTCTTCCTTATAAAACTGGTAAAAAGTTCCACATCTCAAGCCTGTCTCTTCCCCCAACTCAGGGACTTCTGTGGGCTTTCCCCTCCTTTCTCCTGGCAGCAGTTCCCCAATAATCTTAGAGGGCATCTGTCTGAGAGTTACCATATTCCAGGGCCTGCCCCAGGAGCCAACCTGCCTCCTCTAGCTGTCCCCCCATCCCAGGAGGTAGACGACCTTCCTGCAGCTCCCCATGGCTGGATATGGCAAACTGGAGCCAATGGGAGCCACGAGGCTCCATGGCTACTGAGCCTTCAGGTAAACAAAGCGACACAAGCCCACAAGCAGCTTTCACAAAGCGGGCTCACATAACAGTTTGAGAACCACTTATTTGAGTGATTCACTTCTAATTCTATTGCAATCAGGCTCCTTATAAAACTTACCTTCAAAATATAAACTTCAAATACTTATTGTCATGCTTATTTTCTTTCATTAAGAGGCATATTTAAAAAAAAAAAATCTTAGTGGACCAAACAAATACAAGTATAAAACAGGCAGAAGATTTTCATAGGGAACCAAGAGAAATGTAAGCAAGTTAGATTAGGCTAAGAAGTCAATAATAAAACTAGAACTTTTCCTTTTTTCTTCCACTGAGGAATTGACTATGATTCCAATACTTCCATTAACAACTGAGGGGATGTAATGAAGGTAACACTGAGGCTATGTCTACACTGCAAGTTTTTGCAGCAGAAAATATGCTAATGAGGGACTCATTGGTATGAGTCACGACATCATCATCATATTTTCTACTGATTCTTTTTGCGCAAGGGGTTTTTGCGCAAAGAGGGGTAGCGTAGCCGCTTCTCTTTTGCGCAAAAAAACCCTTGTGCAAGATCCTTATGCTGGCAGAAAATATGCTAATGATGTCAAGACTCATGCTAATGAGTCTCTCATTAGCATATTTTCTGCCACAAAATCTTGCAGTGTAGACAAAGCCTGAATGTTTAACGTATTTATACAGCCTGAAGTCAAGATTAAATTTTGACTAGTTTAAATGGCAGGACTAACCTATTCTCTAAGAAACAAAACAAAATAGAAGAGAGAAAGAACAGCAACTGGAAGGAGCTGAATGTATGTGGAAGTATCCAGGGAGGCAGTCTGGTGACTGGTGCACTATTAATACCTGGCTCAGAAAGCTTCAGCTAATGGAGAGCTGCAGTTGCCTCTGCTACTTCAATGCATGAGGAAACTTCATGACACCAATAGGACATAGGTGGTGGCATTGGTGGTAAAGTGGCAAGCCTGTTTGGACAAATTACAGGAAGGCTGAAGAATCAGTCAAGGGGTGAATCCATGAGAACAAACAGCTTCTGAAGTAGCACATTAGAACTAAGTTAAATACCACAAGCCAGAAAATTGAAGAAATAGGCCAAACAAAAATCAGTTAAAAATATTAACTGGTTCCTGAAGAGGGGAAAAAAAGACATGAAAATATTATTTTGGATTATATCAGGGTTGTCATATGAAGCAAGACAATATTTGCTGTACATGTAGCTATCTACTTAGGTTACTATGAAGAATTCTGAAGGGTGAAACAATGGGAAAGTTTTGCAAATACAAAACAAAGGCCAAGAGAAAACAACATGTGCAGCCTACATTAGGTAACTGATCATTACTGTCAATTACATAAATATATGTTATAAAAGGACACTGCAATTCTCCTCAGTCAGCAAACGCTGAAATAAGCTTTGCTACAGTGTTGGGAGAATCAACTTGATGATGCATTAGAGAGCTCTTCTGGAATGAGACCACAATCCTGAAAAGAATAAAGTTAAGCACTTGCATTAAGCAGATGCGTGATTCCATGTTGCATTTTTAGAATTAACAACGAGCAATATTTAGGAAGTTAATGTGAAAAAAGCCTTCACACTTACCTGTCAAGAAAGTCTTTGTCCACGACTGCACAGATATCAAGAAGGGGATTTCCCATTCCAAAAAGCACATTTTCACTACAAAAGAATGAAAAATGTGTCAAATGTAGTTTAATGTTTCTAGTCTAACATTATTTGCTTTTACAATTAACAGGTTAGAAAAAAACTAATCCTGCCCAATCAAGAACTGCATGGTCAATTTGCCTGGAATCCAGACACCACAGCTAATTCAAATTAATTGCAAACCCATATTACCTCTTAGTGCATTACATAGAATAGAAGCCTCACCAAGCAATACTGTACATTATTTAAGCAACCCATCAATAAGAAAATGAACCTTGCATGCTATAATGTAGTTTCTAAGGGTTACATGAGGTTGCGTTCACAGGCTGTCAAGTTCCATGAGCCAGATTTTATTGTGCATCTGAGGAGCCACAAATTTAACCCCATAAAAGTAACTTTTAAGAGCAGCCTTTGATTCTGCACTGACCTGCAGCTTCCCTTGCAAACAGTATTTGTTTACTTATAAAATATTAAAACTGTTATACAGAAAAAAGGATTAAAAAATTGTTATATTTTTTAAATTAGCATATTCAGTCATCTTACATACAGCAGGGCCTGCTGCAGACAAGGGCTCCTTTGGGCATCTGGAGTGGCTCCCCGCAGTGGCTTGGGCACATTGCAGGCAGAGGCTACTCCAGGTGTCCAGAGCAGCCCATATCCTCAGCAGCCCAGGCACTCCGGACGCCCCGTCTAACATGGGCCCGGTGGGGTTGTGCCTCTTCCCCTCTCCCTCCTCCCCTCTTGCCCCACCATCTGTGGCAGCTCCATGATGGGGCCAGAGGAAGGGTGCCTCCCCTCTCAGCATGGCACCCAACTCAGAGCTGTCCCAGAGCTGATGCGGCCAGGGGACAGGTGTTCCTTCCATGGCCCCCACCCAGCCTAACCTAGGCCTGCCCCAGACAGGGGATATGCACCTCTCCCCAGCTGTGCCCACTAAAGCTACAGCGCCCATAGAGAGGTGCTTCTCACCTGACCCCAAGCTGCTGTGATGAGAAGGCGATGGGGTAGTCCTCTTTCCCCAGCCCCAGCCCAGAGCAATGACTTAAAGTAGGTACATTTCCATTTTATTTTCCAAAAAAGCAAAAATTGAGGTAAAGACCCGAGCAACAGCAGGTAAATCTTCTAGTAAAGCTATAATGATAAAGCCTTCTGATAGTCGAGTAGCTGGAGCAGGCGGAGAGCAAAGCCAGATCTACAATCGCCCAGTCTCTTGGCCTTGTCCTTACAACTCCTTAATACCTTTCCCCCTGCGCTGATTCTTTCCTAATATAAGCTTTACACTTTTCCCATCCTCATAAAAGCCAACCCTGATTGCCAAACACTTCTCCATCTACTATATTGCTTCAGTGATAAACTCCTGAATGGGCCATCTACGATCATTGTTGTAAATTATTATTTGTACTACAGTAGCCCAAAGAAGAATCCCACCAAAATGGGATCCTAATTGCAGTAAGTGTAATATAACCATATGGTCCTGACACCAAATAGTTAGTCCACAGAAACATCACAAGTAGTGCTGGGACAGAAAACACAGGCAGAGAGAAGTGACTTACACAAAGTCAAATAGCAGAGCTGGAACAGAATTTAGTGCTCCTGTCTCTCAATCCGTGCCCCATTCAGTGGTCCATATCATCTTCATTTATTAATATACATGTTTAAATAAAGATTTTTTTCAAATGTTGACAAATCTTGTGTTTTTTATAAACCCAAGATTAAGTATATTGTGCTGTGAAGTATATTTGTCCTAGGCTATAAACAAAAAAGTCTGGATTGTGGGTATAATCCCTAGTATTCCCACTTGTCAATTATCATCAAGATACAGAAAAAACAACAAATAGTCTGGTAGCACTTTAAACACTAACAAAACATGTAGATGATATCATGAGCTTTTGTGGGCACAGCCCACTTCTTCAGATGACCGGAGTGTTAAATACTCTTGCCCAGTTTCTCTTTCAACTCCATCCGGATCTCCTCCAGTTCATGTTCTGCCCTCTCATTCTATGAAGCTGCTCTCTCACCTATACATCTATATTGATCTTCACGCTCCATCCGGGTCTCCTCCAGTTCATGTTCTGACCTCTCACTCTATGAAGCTGCTCTCTCACCTATACATCTATATTGATCTTCACCTGGCCAAATTTGAGAGCTCTTCCTACTCCTCATCTTCTTGACATTTATTCATTTGAGGATTATGCAAAAACATCCTCACTACTTTGGCAGTCCTTTCAGTAGGCCCTCCTTTTCCCATACCATCCTTACCACATCAACTATTTATTCTCCTCAACCAGTCGGCCCCTTTTTCCCAATTTTTTTTCTTGTAAGTTGTACAAGGACTACACCATAGTTTCCATTACTACATTTTGACTTCAGTATCAACAATATGACTCAGAGGCTGTGTCTAGACTGGCCAGTTTTTCCGGAAAATCAGCCGTTTTTCCAGGAAAACTTGCCAGCTGTCTACACTGGCCGCTTGAATTTCCGCCAAAGCACTGACTTCCTACTGTAAGAAATCAGTGCTTTTTGCGGAAATACTATGCTGCTCCCTTTTGGGCAAAAGTCCCTTTTGCGCAAAAGTTTTGCGCTAAAGGGCCAGTGTAGACAGCTGAGATTTGTTTTCCGCAAAAAAGCCCCAATCGCAAAAATGGCGATCGGGGCTTTTTTGCGGAAAAGCGCGTCTAGATTGGCTACGGATGCTTTTCCGCAAAAAGTGTTTTTTTTCCGTTAAAAGCATTTGCGGAAAATCATGCCAGTCTAGACGTAGCCAGAGGATGCACCTAGAACTGGAATCAAGATGCACTAAGTTGCAATAGACACACACCACCATGTTTTCCTAGTGCACAGGTATCAAATTCCTGCATGCGTCACCTTTGCCCACTACCGAAGGTCATAAGCGTATATCTTTAAGTACCAAATTTACACAAATGTATTTATCAAGTTCGCCGGATATAAAGTTAAATTAGAATTTTGGTAATTGTTAACAATAAGCAAGCAAAAAATCAAATGAGAATTGCTGATTTTTAGCTGATTGATAAATCAACTACTTTATTTCAAGTTTCTACTTTTCTTTTATTACAGCTTAATCACAGGATAGAAATGTTATAGTATGTTTCAGTAAGTATGGCAATATTCATACCCAAAAATATTCAATTTAGGAAAAAGGCTAAGAATACACAATCAAAATATGGGTTTTGATAAACTAGAAACTGGCAATTTACAGTAAGTAGAACTAAATATTGCCTGTGAGAGAAAGTTAAAGCTTTAGAATATTACAAGACTAAGTCCTGATTTCAAAAATTTGCACATTAGCTCTTAAGATATTCATAGATTCCAAAGCCAGACAGGGCCACTGTTGTTATATCGTTTCAGCCTTGCAGAATACAGGCCATAGAACTTCCCAAAATAATTCCTAGAGCATATCCTTTAGAAAAAAATATACAGTCTGGATTTAACACTCTGAGTGATGGAGAACCCACAATGACCTCTGGTAAATTGTTCCAATACCATCACTTAAAAAATTATGGTTTATTTGCAATCTAAACTTGTTTACCTTCAACTTCCAGCCACTGTATGGACCCATTACCAAATATTTGTTTCCCGTGTCAGTACTTACAGACTAGGGATGTAAAATCCCATTTAATCAGTTAACCAATTAAATGGGATTTTACAATCTACTTGCCCATGGCAATCGATCTGCACATGTGCAGATTTAGGTTTATTGTAAGAGGCCAGATATAGTAAAGACTTTTTAAAAGTAGGGGATTAATTTGAATTATTACAAATGATGGACAAAACCAGACTATTTGGAAGTGTTCAATATAGGTTTGCCCAAGAGTCCATACACCTACATTTACTGTTCACTCAGCTGCTGTTTATATGCTGTGGAGAGCAATATAACAATCATATCATACATACAGTACAGTATAAATGTGAAGATTAAATGCATTACACAATATTTGGAGTGAAGATCTTTATCATTATTGACGTACAAGTAGATAAGTGTCAGTGTTGCAAATTGGATTCCAACAATCACATATAAAATTCCAAGAAAAATTGCATTTTTGTGACTTTTTTAAACTTAGTAGTTTCTCTCAGTCTTGTGGTCCAAGGGCTTCTCAATATGGGCCCACAATGCTGTGCTATAACTCTGGAGTGAATGCTGTTGCTGCAAATTAAAAATGTGTTCAAGTCCAGTTTCAAATGCAATATTTTAATTTGTACCAGCATCTTTTACATGGGGGAGTTGTGGCACAGCACACTAGTATGCATTGCAATTCACATCCCCATGGTCTGAACTCTGAGCCCAAGCAGACATACAATGAGTTAGATTTTAGGGTAAGCATTCTTCACCCTACACAAGAATTTAATTGCATTTCTAATTAAATGTTTTAAAACTATAACTCGCATCTTGAGCTTGTGACTACTGGCAGCATTTATTTTGTTTTAAGAAGCCAGCATGAAAACCAGCAGGTTATAAACTAGCACATGGTCTGTTTAACAATCATAAAAATGTTTAATTTGTTCATACGTTTAAACCCATATTAAAAGACTTGTTTGCACTCTGTTGGAGCGTAGACTGTGTGACACACCTGAATCCAATTCCTTTTGCCCATCGTCAAAAGCAACTTAAGGCATGAATAAGCAGGGCTTGACAAATAATACAATCTACTTGCCCATGGCATTTAGATTGCATCCAGGAAGAACCGGGTTCGGCGATCTGCACATGTGCAGAACGATTTGCGCATGCATAGATCTCCGGATGGCGCAGCTGGCAAGCCCTGTGAATAAGGATCCACCACCCTGTTCTCTCATGGGCAATTCTCTGCATTTTCTTTATGTTGCTAAGTCCCGTAAGTTTTCCTTCTCTTAGCAATGTCTAGGAGCAGTGGTTCCCAACCTTTTTTATACCAGAGACTGGCAAACCCATTCACAAACTTTTGGAAGACCAGTACAATTTTATTTGCATATTCACTATGGTAATTAATTTTAAGAGGGTCACGTTATTTTACATCGCATCT